CACTGCCAATGTGGTTTGCCTTTCCCTACTGCCTGCGCGCGGCCATGCCAGGCGTTGGCCCCTGCTTGCGCCTTCTCGTCTGCCGGCGCCTCCTGCCCACAGCCCCTGCGCATCTCCCACCCGCCCCCCCCCCCCCCCTCGAGGCGCGCCATCCTGCGCGGTCAGCTGATGCGACGGATGACGACGTTTTTGAAGGAAGCGCGGCGCGCGGCCACCTTGCTTCGACGCGCGCTCGGCTCTGCAGGGCGTGCTGCTCAGCTGCGCTCATGGCTCGCGGCCATCCCTCTCGGCGCGTGGTTGCCTAGGCCGCGCTGCCGCCGTTGCCGTTGCCGTCGGGCTTCGCCTGCTTGTTGCTGGGCTCGTGGGCGCCCTCTCCGCCGGGCTGGCGTTTCTTGCCGTCGTTCATGTCCTCGTGCTCTGCTCCTGCAGCTGCCGTGCGTTTGTCCTGCTGCTCTGCTGCTGGGGCTGCAGCCTTGCGCGCTGGCTGTTCTGCCCCTGCAGCTGCTGCTGCTGCTGCTGCGCGCTTGTTCTCTGGCGACGTCGGGTCACGCGCGCCTCTGGGGGTCGCCTTCAGAATCGGCCCCCGCACTTACGGCGCTGCCTTCCTCGGCGGGTACCCCTTGTGCTTCGTCGCGATCCTCTGCTGGCGCATGCGCGGTGCTGCAGTCTCGGGCGTCTGCGGCTGTCGCTGCTTCTGCTGCTGCTGCGTGGGCGGGGGGCCCGCTTCCGCCGCTGCTGCCGCCTGGGGCTCCGGCGCGGGCTCGGCTGCTGCAGCGCCCCGCGGCGCGCCTGCTGCGGTGCGCTGGCGGTCTGGCCCCGCGGGCGCTGCCGCGCCGCTGGCGCTGCTGCTGGCGGCCCCCTGCAGCTCTCGTTCGACGGCCTTGCGCGCCTGCGCATCAGTGAACTACATGGAGAGGATCTCGCGCTCGGAATCGCAATCGCCCCCTTCCAGCGATTCCCTCGCGCTTCGCTGGCAGCAGGCCTCAGGGCTGCGCTGTAGCGTTGACTGGCGTCTGCGGCGAGCCAGGCTCTTCCTCTTCCACCTCTTCCTCAACGGGGCTGGACAGGGCGTCTGCGCCGCTGTGGCTTCTTTTCCTGCTGGAGCCGTGGCTGGCGCTGTGGTTGGCGCCGCTGCTGCCTCTGCAGCGACGGGCGGCTTCGGGGGGAATGGGAAGCGCTGTTTCTTCCCTGCAGTGGCCTGCCGGGGCCCCGTCGGGGGCGGCGCGTTCGGCGGCGGGGGCAGCGGCTGCTTGTGCGCTGCGGGCATCTGGGGCCACGACTGAAACGAAGGCATCTGCGGCATCTGCGACATCGCGATCACTGCCGGCTGCGGTTGTCGATTGATTGTCCCCGTGTGCCGCAGCCTGTGCAATGCCTCCCGCGCCGCCTGCGCGGCCGCGGGGGTTGTCGCCGCTTGCCTTAGCGCTTCCAACAGGTCTGCTTGAGACATGGAGGCGCTCTTAGGCCGATGGCCCTCGCGCGAGTAGGACGTCGCTGGGCGGTGGGTTGGCTGGCGGGCGAGGCCGTGGTTGCAGCGATGGCGGCGGCATCGCTGGCGCGCTCTCCGGCGCTGGCTTCGGGGATCTCGGGGGCGCAGGGTCGCCGGTCAATGTCGGCTCGACGTTGAAGTGCACCATGGGAATTCGCATCGGGCCAGTCTTGGGCCCCGTCGGCTTGGGTCTGGGGGGCGCGAGGACGCGCCCGTGCTCTGCGACCCCTTGCCCCTCGCGCTCTTTGATGTCCCCCCGCCGCCAAGGCGCCGCTTTCCTGCGCAGGAGGGGCGCCCCTCCTGCGCAGGCGGGGCGCCCCTGCGCAGGGTGGCAACGCAAAGCATCGAAGAAATGTCGGTCGATCGCTCGATGATCGATCGCGCCTCGCGGCTTCTGGGCGCCGCGCTGCCCCCGCTTCCAGCCCGCGTTCTTCTTCGTCGCGCCCTGCGCATTATTCTGCGCCTCGCACGGGCAGCGCGGCGGCCGCTGGTGGCGCGTGCTAGGGGGGCGCAGGCCGCCGCCGACGCACTCCCCCTCGCCGCGGCGCCTGCGTTTGGCCGGCGGGCGGCGCGAGCGCGCGCTGAAGGGGGCCTTGCGCAGCCCTGCCAATGCGTCAGCCGCCTCCTCATTTCCCTCCTCCTCGTCGTCGTCATCGACCGCGACGCCCTCGTACTTCGCGCCGCCCCCGCGCATGCGCCCGCCGCTGCCGCGGCCGCCTGGCGGGCCGCCGCCGCCGTCTCCGCCCGGGGCAAAGCGCGGGCCGACGCCCATCGCCTGGCCGAGCTCCCCCTCTAGATCGCCCCTCCCTCTCCCCCCCCCCCTCTCTCCTCTTCCTCTTTCCCCCGCCTTGTCTCCCCCCTGCCCCCCCCCCCATCCCCCCCCCCCCTCCTCTTCCCCCCCCCCCCCTCCCCCCGCGCCCCTCTTCCCCGCCGCCCCCCTAACTCTGCTCGTGCTGCCCGCGTCCCCCCCCCCCCCCGCTCCCCGTCAGTTCCCCTGCTGCCGCGCGCGCCGCCCCCTTGCTGCTCTGCCGCGCCAGCGGCAGCGCGGCGAGATGCAAGGCTGGCAGCGCGCCGACCCCCCGCAGGCGCTGGGGCGCGCGCGCGCGCCCTGGCGGCGGCGAGGCCGCGCGGCCTCTCAAGCCTGAGCCGCCTCCCACGCGGGCTGCGGCGCTTCCTCGCCGCGACCCCCTCTCCTCTCCGCGCCCTCATATACAGGGAGGCAGAGCAAGCTGTCGCGGCGCGTCCGTCGAAGAGCAAATTGAACAAATTTGTTGAACAAGCCTGACTAAACAAACTGCCGATTGCAATTTGACCAAATCTTATACATGTATATACTACAAGTTACTGCGGCCATACATCTTTCGAAATGTTGAGCGATATGCTCCGCGCCCGAACGCGCGCGGCAATGCGCGCGCGCGAGTGCGTACTTGCACGCGCGCGCCTGAGAGCGCGCGCGGTTGCGCGTGCGCAGCGGTCGCCGTCGCCGTCGCCAACGCACACTCGTCGCCCGCCCGCCGCCGTCGAAATTCGCCTGAATTGCGCGCGTCTGCGAATGCATATACATGCGCAAATGCCGCCCCCGAAAACAGTTTGCTCGCAGTCGGTCCGATGCGCCAGCCGCCGCGCAGGAACGGCGCTGGCGCCGTTTCTGTCCGAGTCTTCGCATGTGCACCGCGCGGCAACGCCCCGCGGGGGCTCCGAGATCACGCCGCCCTTCCGCTCGCAGAGGGCGCGGCTGAATCCGCGGAGGCGCGCGCCCCGCCATGTGGGAACGTCGTGCATTTCTGTTCGCAGGGGTTGTTCTGTCAATCCCTGTCATGTTTCGCCATGTCGCGCGTCATATGTTGGCGGAAATCTGCGCGGGCAGCTAATTCTTATCGTGGAGCAACTATACGAGCTTCTCCGCCGCCTTGATCATCTTAGCCTTGCTGTAGGGGTCAGCCTTATTCCCGATAGCGCGCGCCAGGTGCCCGCTGCCGAAGGGCACCCGCGCGGCGCCGCAGAAGTTCCTCTTGTACCAAAGCACGACGCTTTTCCTCTCAGGGGGCGTCGCTGCGGCGGGCTTGGGCATGGCCGCCTGGGCCTCGAGGTCCTCGACGCAAACCGCTGCCACCGCTTCGCGCTCAGCGATCGGGGGTCCCCAATGGGCCCGCACCAGACGCCACTACGGCACAAGGTCACTCTCACTTCGAGTCGAATCGCGAAATGGCCCGCCGCGATCCATTCTTCCCCTTCCATTCTTTTAACTTAAACTAAATCCTCTTCGTCGCACAACGAGGCCGGTCGAAAGGCCGGGCTTGGCGTCTCGCCTGAGACTTTATCACCATGCTATGATCATGGAGCTTAGAAGCTGTAGCTGTTTCGCGAATGAAGACGGGTTGTTTTCAACCTGTGGCGGCTGCCTGATCGCCGTGCACATGTGATATAAACGTCGGCAACAGCTTCGCGGATGGAGGGCGGGCGGTGTTCAAAATGAGGTGGCTGCCTGCACGCCGCGGACACGTTTGCATGAGCGTCACGGATGGAGGACAGGCGGTGTTCAACATGTGGTTCTAACCTCAACGCCGCGCACATCCGTCTTAAAAGTTTGCGAGAGCGCCGCAGATGGATTGCAACTACTTACAACATGTGGCTCTCGCTTTCAGCGCCGCGCACATTCACTTCCAGGGCAGCAGTCTCAGCAGCAGTTCCAGGGTGTTTCAACGCAGATGTCCCAGGCATGGTGTTTTGACACGATGTCCCAGTAGTGGTGTTCTGGCACGACTCAGGATCGTCAGGGCGCAACAGTAACGGTGATTCGCGGCGTTGGCTTCCCAGGAACGGTGTTCTGGCACGTGTCCAGATTCTTCAGCGGTGGTCTTCAAGCGGGGCACTCCCTTAAGTGAACATGATCTCCTGTAAGGACCTGCGAAAAAAGGCACTGGGAGGGAGGGTTTATGTTGCAATACCTGAGACGAGTCTCGGGCTTGCACTGGTCCTCCTCCTCCGCCTCCTCCTCCCCGAACCGTGACACTGGTACCGCAAGCGTGGTGCGTGAGCTCCTCGCCCATGGGCGAGCGGCGCCCCCTGCACGTGAGGAGGGTGGTCTCCCCGTGCTGGCCATCGCTCGGACGTCCATTTCCTGTGTTTTTGTTTTCAGGTTTCGTGCGTGGATTTTTCGCGGAATGATCAAGGATGCTCCTCGATGGTCCTCGCCGAGAGGAGAAAAGAAAAAAAAAAAAAAAAAAAAAAAAAAAACGTCCGAGCGATGCCAAGCGTGTGGGGGCGGAGGGCGGCCCGTCCTGCGATGAGGCAGCAGACCCTCCGTGCGGCAGCCCTCTCGCGCGGGCTTCGCTTCTCCGTTCTCCGTGGCCCCATGGGCTCCCCGAGAGACGCGGCCCTCCTCCGGGCCGCCCCCCGGGCCGTGCCCGCGGGGGGGGCCCGCCGCGGAGAGAGGGGCGGCGGCCGTCGGCCTGCCCCAGGGGGGGGGGGGCGCCGCGCGGGGCGGGTCGGGCCCGCCGCGCCCGGGCGCCTGCAGGACGAAGGAGAGCGCGCCGACCACCGTGGCCAGGAGGAGCGCATAGCCCACGGGGACGCCGATGCACCTCGGGCACCAGACTCGGACTTCTTCGCGGGTCGGGCATGTGCCTCCACAGGCGGACGTGGGACGACACATAGAAAAGTAGTCAGGAAATGCCCCAACAGTGTCAGAAGTGATCCAAGCATCGTCCCCAGGCTATGTGATGGCTATTTGGAAATATTCCTCCTGTAGAGGGACAGGCCCGACTTAAACTGACCCCCGGAGGAGGGGTCGGGACCTCTGGGGCCGCAGATTGGGACCTCAGGGCCGCTAAGATGGGCAAGCCAAAAGCGGTCACAATCTAAAGGGTGTGCACTCGGGAACTGAAGGAGACCTTGAGATCACCATCGAGGTAAGGTGATGCCAAACATAGGGTTCGGGATATGTTTCAAACTGGTAAACCTCGGCTGCGGATCGGAGGGGGGCTTTCTGGGAGTGCTTATGGACCCCTTCGGATCCTCCACCCTTCTTCTTTTTCTTCTCCTCCTCCTCCTCCTCCACCTCCTCCTCCTCCCTCGTCCTCCCTCCTCCTCCTGCTCCTGCTCCTGCTCCTGCTCCTGCTCCTGCTCCTCCTCCTCCTCCTCCTCCTACTCATCCTCTCTGCTTCTGCTTCTGCTCTTCCCTCCCTCCCTCCCTCCCTCTTCCTCCTTGTCTTCCTCAACATCGTGCCCCTTCTCCTCCTCTAGCTCCTCCCTCCTCCTTGCGCCCTTATCCTCTTTCTGCTCCTCCTCCCTCCTCCCCGACTTTCCTACAGGGGCGGCGATGCACCTCAAGCTGAAGAAGCAGCACACACCAGCATGGCCAGCGAACAGTCCAGGCGTGGAGGCAAACAGGCGAGCGCCGACGCCGGCAGACGGCGTTGCGTCATTGTTTCCCCTCCCCCGACTCTCTACCTCTGTCCACCGGTGCCTCGCTCTGCTCTCTGTTAGAGGGAAAAGAACCATGCACATACACCGACTCTGGCCAGGCCCATTCTGAGCCCAGGATCGGTGCATACGCCCTCCTGCCTTGGCAAGGAAGGGATATGCACCGACCCTGGGTCAAGGATGGGCCTTGCCAAGATCGGTGCGTGTGCATAGTTCTCTTGGCCCGAACTATCTCTGCTCTCCCTTTCTCTCTCTCTCTCTCTCTCTCTCGAGCCCACGCGCTGACGCCAGCAGACGGCGCTGCGTGACTGTTTCCCCTCCCCCGTCTCTCTACCTCTGCCCCCCGGTGCCTCGCTCTAGTCTCTATCTCTGCTCTCCCTTTCTGAAGGGGCCCAGGGACACACAAATAAATGCACACAAATGACAAGATCCCCCATATTTTCCTAGATTTTCTGGGTCATTGTTTTCCACCCCCACTTCCCATATCTTCCCAGATTTTCCAATATTGTAATGGCCTCCGGCCAGTGCCGCCGATCCGGGGCGCTCCCGATGCGTGTGGGGACGGACGGCGGACGGTGACGACGACGACGACGACGACGACCGACGACCGGGTCAACGACGGACGACGATGACGACGACGTCCCTCCTCCCCCCGCTGCCCTGCTCGACCCCCCCCTCCGTTCGACCCCCCCCTCCCGTCCTCGCTCGAGCTCCCCCCCCCCCCCTCGATGCTTGGACCCCCCCCCGCGCTGACCCCCCCCCCCGCTCGAGCTCGACCCCCCCCTCCGTCCCCGCTCGAGCTTCCTCCTTGGACCCCCCCCCCCGCTTGAGCTCGACCCCCCCCCCCGTCCTCGCTCGAGCTCCCCCCCCCCCTCGATTCTTGGACCCCCCCCCGCGCTGGAGCGTTCACTGAATTGCGTGGATAATTCATTCACCGGATCCCCCCCCCCCAGAGCGAAGCTTGAGCGAGCTCAAGCCCACGCTCTCAGAAACTCACACGCCGGATCGGCGGATTTTTCCTGGAATCGACGATTACTTGTGTCTGTGTTTTTTTTCACCTCCTGACTTTCTCTCCCTCTCCCTCTCTCTCTCTCTCTTGAGCCCACGCGTGCCTCGAGTGGAGCCTGCCCATGATGGAGTGGTAGATCCTGCACGGCCAGACCAGGCAGATCAGCGTCCCGAAGAAGCTGCCGAAAAGGCCGATGACGTCCGCGATGGCCTCGCGCAGGGAAACGAAACGGCGAGGGAGGGAGCGAGGAGGGAGGGAGGGGGGAGATGTGAGGAATGGGGGTTAGGAAGGAGGGAAAACGAGGGGAAGGGGGGGACGGACGGGAAGGGGGCGAGGAGGGACGAGGAGGAGGAAGAGAAGGCAAGAGCGGCGAGGAGGCCGATCACGTCCGCGATGGCCTCGCGCCAGTTTGGGGGGGAGGCCCGGCTCGTGAGCGAAGGGGAACTGGGACACACAAATAAACAAACACAAATCCCCTGTTTCCCCACATGTTTCCCCATGTTTTCTGGGTTTCTGTCTTTCCCCCCACTGCTCCTATCTTCCCATCTTTTCGGGGGGAACGGCGATTAATTGTGCCTGCGTGCTTTTTCGCCTCCTGGGTGAGAGAGGCCCCCGGCCGCAGCCTCTCCCAGGGCTCCGCCGGGCTCTGATCCCGTCCCGCTCTGGGGCGGAGTGTCGGAAGGGGGGGGGCAGGCAGCCGGAGAGTCCGGCGGGAGCCTCGCACCGGGTCGCCAGGGGATAAACAGAAACGCTGTCTCGTCGACCGCGGGTAGACACCAGAGCCGATGCTGCATCGACGCCCCCAGGAGTTGCAACCGATGATGAACCTAGAAATGATCCCTTACCCGTTGGGAGGGGACCTGAGTCAGGAAGGCCAGATGAATTAGGGACAGGGGGCTTTCCCTGCAGATGCATCAGACCCAAACGCCCAGAAGTATGATCCCTGATGCTCTCAAGGTAAGGGTTCTTATGTGCTCGATGACCCTACACGTCGTTCACTTCTAATCGTGCTCATTTCTAATTGTGCTCCTTTCTAATTGTTCCTGGCCCCCTCGTGGCCAGCAAGAGGCCCAGGATAAAACAATTGGGAATGAAAGGACCTTTGCCCCCCACAAATTCAAAAAACAGTCGAAGAATTTGAAGTCAACAATGTGTAGCCTGCCGGCCAACAAATCCGACGTGGGCCTCGCACCAGATCGCCAGCGCGGCGCAGGCGCCGAGCACCGCCGCGATGAGGGCCACGTGCGGGGCCTGCCGGAGCAGGGACCGCAGCGGCGAGCGCCGCGGTGCGGCCGGCGGCTTCCGCGAGGCGGCGGGCGACCTGGCGGGGCACGAGCCGAACTTGGGTCGGGCATCTCCTCCCACGGGCGAGCTTTGGAAGCAACATGAGAACAGCCAAAAAGATCCCAAACGACCCAGGAATCGTCAGAACAAGTCGTTCCCGTAGCATGTTCTGACTTGTGTTTGACGATGCCTCCCGTAGAGGGACACGCCCGCCTTAAAGCCAAACAGTGTTTTTCGTTTGCGTGCTGTTCTCGTCGTCCCTGGTTCTGTCTTCCTTCCGCCCTTGCTGCGGCACGGAAGCAAAAGGAACACGGCCCACGAAATCGGCCTCAAAGTGGCCTCGGGGGACACAA